CACTGGCGGCGGAGGCTTGGGGCATTGCGTGTCGTCCACCCATCACTTCGCGCCTGTTGCTGTCTTCACTCTGGTGACAGTCTTGCACGACCGCCAGCACCAGCGCGCCCTCGGCTGCTTTGGCTGCCTGGAGCTGCCGCAGTCACTACCACACGCTACCTCTGGAGCATACGGCGCTACACCTGCGCACATCGCCGTGTTGCTTGGCATAACGCCGCCGCCGTGTAGCGCCGAAATGACGCCTTCGATTCCTGATCGCAACGGCTCCTGGCCTCCTGCCAAAATAAATCGAGTCAGCATCCGCGATGCGAACGTCGACGACATTGGCGGGTTCGGCTGGACCCTCCTTTTTGTCATGACTAGCTGAACAGGGAATCCAGGGCGGGCAGGGGTGACAGATGGGGGCGCACCATTGGAGGGGAGGGAGGAATCAGAAAGATCAGCATGCAGAACTGGCTACACGGACGCTGCTGCAAGCGATGCATGGGATAGTTGTAAGGCAGATGGTCTTGAGGGCGCGGGGGGGATCGCAGTACTTCCTCTTAAAAAAAAACAGGAAACGCCTGGAAACGCCTGCATATCTCGGTTTTCCAAAGTCTAACTCCAGTACGAAACTACCATCGTAAATTAACAGCCCGCAGCGGTCGCTTGTGTACAGTGTTAGTAGCTGAGGTTGACCCCTTGCGATACACTACAGACTAGCGGTCCGCGATTTTCCAAACGATCCTTCTATCATCGAGTTCGGTGAGCTACATGCTAGATTTTTGAAGCTGCTGTGCGGTCCAATTTTGAAACGCTTCAAGCACACGGTGAACACGAATCACCGCCTATGTGAGTGTATGGGGCCGCGAACTTCAGCGCAGCTCTTCCCTCACATATCCAGCTGGTCGCCATTGTCGATTTGAATGCCTAGGGTCATGTATATGCATGTCCAGCCTTTAGGCAAAGGTGCTTGAAGCGTTTCAAAATTGGACCGCACAGCAGCTTCAAAAATCTAGCTTGTAGCTCACCGAACTCGATGATAGAAGGATCGTTTGGAAAATCGCGGACCGCTAGTCTGTAGTGTATCGCAAGGGGTACAACCTCAGCTACTAACATTGTACACAAGCGACCGCTGCGGGCGGTTAATTTACGATGGTAGTTTCGTACTGGAGTTAGACTTTGGAAAACCGAGATATGCAGGCGTCTCCTGTATTTTTCAGAGGAGGTACTGCGATCCCCCCCGCGCCCTTAACGGGTGTCGAAACCGTAGCTGCATCTGCCGTACGTGCAACATGATCAACCAAACACCGTGAGCACCTGGGCGCGCGCGGTTGTCGTTGGACTTGTCGTCACAGACTTCGGAAGTGGTTAACCCCCACGAGTGCAGCAGCCATGCCACAACAGTGCGGTCGCGTGGAGCAACTTGGACTGCTGGAGCGTCGTGGTGCATACGGTCAGCACGCGCAACCACAGACTGACACGAGGCAAATCCGCTGGTAGAGCAGACGGCAGCGAACCTTGGCCACAGACTGACACGAGGCAAATCCGCTGGTAGAGCAGACGGCAGCGAACCTTGGCCACAGACTGACACGAGGCAAATCCGCTGGTAGAGCAGACGGCAGCGAACCTTGGCGAGCTAGCACGTCAGGGGCGCTGGCGGCTGGAGAAATGGGCTGGTGTGCACAAGAAAAACCAAACACTTGCAGGGCTTTCTCCAATCTACAAGAAAGAGAGGTCCGCCGGGTGCTGCTGCTGCTGCTGCTGCTGCTGCTGCTGTGGCGGCTCGATCGCAAGAGCACCTTTGCTTGTGGCATCGTCTAGGCCTGCAAAAACATGACCCCAAACCTTCAAATCGACCAAGGCGATCTGAATAGTGCGTCACAAGGGCTTGAACCTTAGCAAATGACAATGTTCACTCACCAAAGTGCGGGGGGCTTTATCGCCATGGTAGATGGTAGGTTGGTTCTGGCGTAAACGTTTCGAAAACCGCTATTACACGGCGTTTCCTGAGTCGCTCAAGAGAAATCTGCACACCCGCACCCGTATGTAAGTGAGAACAGTATCGCCCCCACGGACCAGATAGTCTCGATATTGTAAGTGTCACCGAGATAGTCTCTCACGCCTCGTTCACCCCCCCCGGAAAATTGTGAGGTTACGCGCGCAATAGCCCCTGAAGATCCTTGATGTGGTAGTCTAGCCGTTGTTGACCATTTCGTCTGATCTCTCTGCTAGCGAGAGGAAGCTCAGAGAGACGCAAAGCTTCCTCAAGAGAGCGAGAGCGACGTGGCTCTCCCGTGTCATGGGATACATGTATGCGGAGCACGCGATCGAAAATAGCAATAGTAGTGTGACCAACCGAAAGGTTGCGAACGCGTGGATGGGACGAAATGCTAGGCGAACCAATGGGGCATTTAGGAGCCGACAGCGAGAACAGTGTGTGTACAGGGCTATCGGATACGGCTGTGTCCCTGCCGCCGTCCGTAGAAACAGGAAGACCGCCAAACGAAGGAGAGAGAGAGACCACGACAAACAAAGGGGAGGCTCTCACGCCGAGCAAGAACGAGAGGCTATTGTAGACCAAGCAAGCCGGTTCATTGTAAAAGCCGGACACATCAAATGTTGTTGTGAGGTTATACGGGTAGCAGTGCCTGGAGTCTCTTGATGAAACCCCGTGGAACATCCGCAAGTTTTTTTTTTACAAACACACACCTTGTCCAACGCAATAATTGATTAAACAACTCTCGTCCCGTAACAACTCCCCTCAACGTGCGATCTACCGTTGTCCAATATGGTTGCGAGTTGAATTAAATAACAGTACGTGGTGACTTGCGGTACATTTGTACTAGAGTAAGACCGCGATATAACGGCTTCCCGAGCGAGATACTCGGGACCGCGGTCTGCATCCCCCTTGGTCTACGTAATACATGAATACGGCCTAGCCTATTGTTCTAGGCTAGCATCGAGGTAGCCAAAACAGCCTGTAGCAAAAGACTATTTAAAGTGTGAGTTGACGGCATTACCAACAACAGCTGCATCAATGTCGCACCAAAACAGATGGATAAGACAAAACAGCAACAAGGGCTTGCAGTACCATAGAGATTTTAGCCTCGGAGTACGGGTGCACCATGGGGGCTCTCCTCATCGGACAAGAGCCCTGATGTGGAATCCTGGGAAGGCAGGCGCAACTCGAGAGATTCTGTTACACTAGTCGTTCAAATGCGAATCTTTAGTTCTGACCGGCGGATACGTATTGGACCTACTGCTGCCCTGCTGCCGTTGGCTCCGCATACGGGATATATGTTTCACACACCGTGGCCGCAGCTCGACCACACACATGCATCTGCATCTTCCAAAGAGAAGAAACAACGAAACAACGGCATTTCCTGGGCCATCTACATTTACATAGTCTATGGACTTTCCGTCGTCCGCCTTCTCAGTAGATGTGTTGTACTGCATGTAAGATTCACCAGTAAGTAGATGCAGTTTCCGGGCTTGAAAGTACATGTAATGCACGAGCCACACACACCCAATCTCTACTCGAGGCGGAGTATATATACTGCTGTAGATCACAACCCCAGGCCAACGAGGAGTATTATCGTGGTGATCCACACCCACTCTCCTTTGCCCCTATGTATGACATAGTGCAGAGCAGACAATTCTCTCGCATACCGCCGTGCATGTACACAACAAAGCACGTACATAATTTTATCCTCATCGCCAAAGAAGTAATAAAATTCACATCATCACACCTTTGCAGGCGGGGGCGGTTTTGCCATGAAGTCTCACACGACGCGATCCTTCACAGCGCTCAGGCAGGTTTTCCTGTTTGATGATGATGATGATGCTCCTAAGATTCAAATCATCACACCTTTGCAGGCGGGGGCGGTTTTGCCATGAAGTCTCACAAGACACGATCCTTCACAGCGCTCAGGCGGGCCATTGCTGTTTGATGCTGATGATGCGGCCACACAGTTATTGGCGCCCTAACAAAGGCCCATCATGTCCCTCACTCTGTCAGTACTTACTGCTGTACCCGACAAGGATCACTCACACACACAACACCACCAACAGGTGGTACACAGCAGCAGTACCCACAGACAGCAGGCGTCCAGGGGCTCCGCGGCGTGGGCGTGTGGCCGAAAGAACCAAATTTCTCGCACTCATACAACCAAGAGCCAAGCTCCTTCGTGCGTGACTGACACACACAAACACACGTTTATTCGAGAGGGCGGCGAAGCTAGACCCGCAAGCAAGGTGCGGAGGACGGTGAGGGTGAGACTGGGGGGGGGGGGGGCGCAGCGGGGGTGTTGCCGGATTTCTTCGCTCCTATCACGATCTCGTGAAGATACCCCGACATACACGCACACACCGAACGAAATAGACAGTCAGTGGAGAATTTTTGAAGACCAGCAAAAAAGAGAGGAACAGCGTGGCCCGTGCGCCCTGCTGTGAGTAGCTCCTTCCATTGGGTTTTGAGTAGATTCTTCGGCTGTGTGCGCTCGCTCACGGCGTTTTGTTTGGCCTTCGGGGTTATCCCACGGAAAGGGTTGCTAGGAGCTTGTGTGGTTTCCGTGCGGGTGCCAGGGGGAGAGGGAGAGAGAGAGCGAAAAGGGTTTAGGGCCCCCCAGCATTTTTTGCCCAACCCGTGCTGACGGGGGCTATTCCGAACGCCAGCCCAACTCCTTGCTTCTCTCTCTTCTGCAGGTGCATACTACAGCAGCACACCCCATCATCCCGTGGAGGCGGCGTCATCAGGAGGAGCGACGCTTGCTTTGGGCGGTTCGCGCATGACTGCCGCGCGGGTGTTGTACCTGTAGGGGGTTTCTCATCGACAGCAGCCTTCTCAGCAGACGACGGTCCGTCTCTTCCTTGGGCACGGAGGAGAAGGAAAGGGTCTACTCGTATATCACAGCTGTGCGGCTGCCTGTGTCATCTATCATCGTAGTCACTGGACCAACTCCTGGTTCGGGGACAACAAAACAACACTAGCAGAAGCGGGAGGGCACAAGTAACACCCGATGGCCTCGACGCTGGAGGCTGAGAACTTGCATCACGTGGTCATGGCCGGTGACCACATCTCATCGGGATCTCATGCAGAGCTCGCCGGCAGCAGCAGCAGCGGCGGCCGGGCGACCAGGAGCAGTCGGGAGCTTGAAGATCGCGGCACCGCGGCGGCCGTACCACCGCAGCAACACGCCGGTGGAAGCGCCGGCGGGGGGCCCGTCTCGGCAACAAGGCCGGCCGCTGAGAGCGTTGTGGTTGGCGGAGGCGGCCCAATAACCGCAGTTGTAGCAGACTCCACCGGCGGTGTCATACAGCAGCAGAAACGACCACAGCGAAGAGCGTCTGCTGGATCTTCAAGCAGCAGCAGGAATCCACGAAGGTTGTCTTCAAGCGGCGGCGGCGGCGGTGGCGACAGCAACGACGGCCCTGCCTCCTACGAAGGCTGGAGCGCCGCCGCCGACCTAGCCAACGGCGTTGGGAGCGGTGGCGTGAGTCCGAGCTCTGCGCCGAGGACGATGGCGCGCGACACCACCGGTAACCCGAGAGATAGTAGCGGCATCTCCAGGAGGCGGTCCCGAGGCAAGAGCAGGAGCGGCAGCGGTGGGGACGGCAGCGGCAGCGGCGGCGGCGGCGGAGGTGGCAGTGGAGGGCGCTCCACGTCTCCCACCACAACTCCTGCTACTACTACTCAGAAGAGCATTACGCGCACTAGCTCCAACCACAGGCTTCGCCTTAGCGTCGAAGGAGAGAGCAGCGGCGGCGGCGGCGGCGGCGGCCTGGACGTTTTATCGCCGACAGGAGAAGTCGCCGAGTTGGAGGCCGTGGCGGCTGGACACCAGACGGCCGGCGAGCTTGCGGCGCTGGAGAGAGCGGTGGTGGCGGCCTCCAAGATCACCCCGCCCCCGGCCGACGCCGGCGGCGGCGGCGGCGGCGACTTCACCGCCCGCATGATGGGGACCGGGCCAGCCTCCCGGTCGAGGCGGAATAGCGGCGGCAACAGCATCGGGGGCAGCTGGGAGCAGCAGGAAGTGGCGGAGGTCGGACAGGCGGGACCCCCCGGCGGCATCCTACCGGCGCCGCCCAAGACCCCGTCCGCGTCCTCGTCCGCCGGGTCGGGCGTGTCGGTGTCCTCCACCGGCGCGACCCAGGCGGTCGAAGCTCTGTCCCACGGGAGCCCGGCCGCGGCGATGACCTCGCCCGAGCGGCGGCGGCGCACCGGAGACTTGGCGCCGGCCATCCACGCCAGCCCGATCAGCAGGGCGGCAGCGGCCGCTGCCCGCGGGGGGAGCGGCGGCAGCGGCGGCGGCGGCAGCGGGATCGTTTCGGACCAGCCTCGCTCGTCCCGGGCGATGCCCGCCGCGGTGATCTCCACCACGTCGGCGGGGGGCAGCAGTAGGAGGGGTCGGAGGGAGCTACAGCCGCCGCATTCGATTAACATGACGGAGGGGGACGAGGGACCGCCGTCCCGGCCGAGAAAAAACAGCGGAGGCGGCGGGCCGCAGTTCAGAGGGGACGGGGGAGGAGGTAGGCCTAGCGGCGAGCGTAGAGAGCGCGGGAGCCGCGGCGCCGGCGGAGGCCGCCCCCGGCGGAGCGGGCGGGGGGGCAAGAACGGCCTGCCGAGGGGCCGGGCGGCGGGCAGGAACGGCAGGCGCGGGCGGCGGTCGGTGAGCATGCCGCAGAGCGGCTACCGTGGCCCCGGGGCGTTCGGCCACGCCCCCGTGGTGGAGGGCGATGCCGAGGAGGAGGAGGAAGAGGAAGAAGAGGAGGAAGAGGGAGACGAGACTGAGGTAAGA